GGCCTGGACTTGCCCTTGTCTCTTACCTCTTCTCTGCTAACATCCATGTTCCACACTGCAATTCCGCCGTCCGAGGAACAGGAGACGAGCTGCCTGGTGAGCTGAAGGTAGCACAGCGACTGCACCTTGTCACTGCAAACAGCACACACAATAGTCACTTGTCTCCATGTGGAAAAACACGGGAACTATCTCATTTAGGCTCAAATCGTTCTCATTAAAACCAGCAAGTGGTATTTTACCACTGACTATCCAGCATGGTAAAATGAATTCTAGTATAAACTTTACTTGGCATTTTATAACTCATAATACAGAATGATACTTTCTATAAAACATACGAAGACTTTCAAATCAGTCATTAAGAATTGTAGGCCAGAGATTTGATGAGGGCTATGGTTTTCGGGACCAATCACCATGATTTCCCTTTCAGATGCATAAGATTTATCTATTTGTTCAGAAACAAAAAAGAACAAAGGAGGTTTAACTCCCTTACTGAACACAATTCATATGAACAAGGAGTCCAACACCACAAAGATCGCTAGTGTGCACAGACACACACACAGATGGGGTGAAGACCTCTGTCCCTCCTGCGTGCCTGTCATACTCCCCTTTAGGATGCCCAAGGAAACAAGCTCTTGGCCTGTTATAGTGTACAATATGTTTCCTCAGCTAATTTTCAGCTTGACTGTGATTACAGTAACAGCTGCAGTCTAGCCAAAAAGGAAAGAAAGGAAAGCGGGGTGAAGAGGTATTTCTTTTTCTTTCAAGGATAGAGGGCAAGATCCTAAATATACAATGGTATCACTCAGGTGAATTCCACTGTCAAACTAGACATTATTTCTCAATTCAGTATCTTTTAGAATAAAAAAACCAAAAACAAAAAACAAGTTAGGCTCCCAGCTCAAGAACAGCTTAGCATCATGTTATATGCAACCTTCCATGGTCAAAATCCTCACCTGCATCTCTGTTCTATGCCTGCCTTAATCAGATATTTCAACGGGGTGACTCCTTAAGAGAGAAAGTGGCAAGTGCTCTTTGGACTAAGAAGGAAGAAAGCCCTGTACTTGTGTTTTGTTATTGTTTTGCTACTAAACATCAGACACTTGGGGCTGACAGAAAGCAGTTAAAAGTGAACTGAGCGCTATCAATGATAATTGCCATCTTAGAAGGTGGGGTTTGCAGAAAGTGTTATCAGACTACTAATGCCTTTCACTAGCTCCCCACTAACTCGGATTCTTTCCCCACCCCCACAAGTGGTCACGCACTGATGGCCCTGAAGTAAGAGCGTCCGGCCTTTTCTTCCTCCGATGTCCCACATGATGATGCTGTTGTCAGATGCTCCTGAGAAGAGTAACCGCTGAATAGGGTCCCACCAGAGGCAGGTGACACTACCTAGGGATTTGTGAGAGAGAGAGAGGGAGGCAGGGGAGAGGGGAGGGAGGAGAGGTAAAATATAACTCTACATCAGGAGGCACACATTTGACAGCTGAAGACCAAACTAGGATCAGTTGAGTCTTTAAGCAAAAAGGTACCTTCATGGTGTACAACGGGTCATTCAACCATGCCATCATGAGTCATACAGGAGACACAGCACCATTATCCACAGTTGTAAGATTAGAATTTTTCAATTGTGCATCAAACTACTTGGGGCTGGGCATGGTGACTCACACCTATAATCCCAGCACTTTGGGAGGCTGAGGAGGGCAAATCACTTGAGGCCAGGAGTTCGAGACTAGGCCTGGCCAACATGGTGAAACCCTGTTTTTACAAAAACAAACACAAAAAAAAAAAAATTAGCTGGGCATGGTGGCGGCTTCCTGTAATCCCCGCTACTTGGGAGGCTAAGGAGGGAGAATTGCTTGAACCCAGGAGGTGGAAGTTGCAGTAAGCCAAGATAGCGCCACTGCACTCCAGCTTAGGCAGACTCTGTCTCAAAAAAAAACCAAAAAACAAACAACCAAAAAAATTGCTTGGAATACAAAGATTTTTAAAGAAGTTTCTCCTTGTTCTGTGCCAAAAATTACAAAGTAGCTTACATATGAAATGTTCAGAAAAAGTTACTGGGAAAAAAAAATGCTAGTAATATTTAGTGAGAAAAACCAGTAAAGTTTACTGTGTCCAACCTACACAAGATAAAAAATCTAGATTATTCTGGGTCTCTGGAACCTTTCAGGTGTTTTACCCCAAGATGTCTATGTTTAAGAAAATTAAGTACCACAGAAAAAAGTCTGTTGTACACTACACAATTATGCCAAGTAATTTAAGTGAAAAATCTGAACTTCCCATTTCATACTTTATATTGGCTAACTTATCAAATTTGAAACCCTTGAGGAAATCTTTCTTTCTACATACAGGTGGATCTTTCAGTAGATCCTTTCCCTGTTCATCGACTGCTGTTTGTCTAGAAAAAACATTATTAATCAACTTAGTAAAACTGAACCAGCCACACAAGCTAATAATAATTTTGGTAGGTATACAGAGAATTAATGATGCCATATTCAAAAGCAAACAGAAACTACTTTCTCACACACACTTTCCAAAAACAGAACAAAAGTAGAAACAAAGAAATATTCTGCGAAGGCTTCAGGGGTTAGTTTCACATGACTTTTGACCCTGTGTAATCTGTGTGCCATCCATTTCAGTTAGAGGCCTAAAAGCAGATAAATACGGTCTTTCAACATGAAAACTACTAAGTAGTTACCAGACCCATTCTGCCTTTAGCAACCCTGAAAAAACTGACGAGCCTGGGGGTCATGAGAGAATTAGTCATAAACAGAAAGTGGTTTCTTCACGGGCCTCTGCTTTCCTGCCCAAATCCATTTTAACTTGCTGTTCTCTTTTCTTCTTTTCCCCTACAGGGTCCTTGATTTGATATACTCTATTTCACTTAAATAGATTACATAGAAAGCATAGTGTACATTTATTATAACTTGTTACAACTAAAACGCTAACTATGGTCATAAATAAGTTCATCATTAATTCTTTCAGCAACTCCCCCGTTCTCCATAAACCAGAGGGCCTCAAAGCTTGTATTTTGTGACACATATCAGAATTTGATCTTGTGATCGGTATGAAAACTTCAATCCATTACAGCTTAGCATCTGACACAGTTTAGACATGTGTCCCCTCTAAATTTCCTTGAGATATATATATATATTTTTATTTTTATCTTTTTTTTTGAGATGGAGTCTCCCTCTGTCACCCAGGTTGGAGTGTAGTGGCATGATCTTGGCTCACTGCAACCTCCACCTTCCGGGTTCAAGAGATTCTCCTGCCTCAACCTCCCTGAGTACCTGGGACTACAGGCGCCCGCCAACACGCTCAGCTAATGTTTTTTGTATTTTTAGTAGAGATAGGGTTTCACCATGTTGCTAGGCTGGTCTCGAACTCCTGACCACAAGTGATCTGCCCACCTCAGCCTCCCAAAGTGCTGGGATTACAGGTTTGAGCCACTGGGCCCGGCCTCTAAATTTCATGTTAAACTAATCCCCAGTGTTGCAGGTGGGGCGTGGTAGTTGGCTCATGGGGGTGGATTTCTCACGAATGGTTTAGTGCCATCCCCTTGGTGCTCTCCTTGAGATAGTAAATGAGCTCCCTTGAGATATGGTTGTTTAAAAGTGTCTGGCACCCCCACACCCGCACTCCTGCTTTGGTCATGTGATGTGCCTGTTCACACCTCACCTTGTGCTATGACTATAAGCTTCCTGAGGCCCTCACCAGAAGCATGCTGGTGCCATGCTTCCTGTACAGCCTGCAGATCCACGAACCAATTAAACCTCTTCTCTTTATAAATTACCCAGTCTTAGATATTTCTTTATTGCAATGCAAGAATGGCCCAATACAGCATCTAATGAAACCTCTTTATTACATGTGTGTATGTGGCGAGTCACATACAATCAACGGACTTTAAAAACCCCTCCACAGAGCTTCACTAACCCACTGCACTACAGAAATGACATTGCACCCAATAATTCTTTCCCCTCAGTACCTACGCAGGGTAGGTTTCCCAAGCAGAGGCTGAACCAGCCCACACATTCCTTCTAATTGTATTTATCAGGTCTTGCTCAGGGGCTTAGAAACTGATAAAATTTTTTAAAGTAATAACAACAACTCTTCCAAAGGTTTTACCAGTTAGAAGTAATTTTAAAGGTCTTGTCAACATGATAACTTATTTTATTTTTATTTCTATTTTTTTGAGACAGAGTCTCACTCTGTCGCCCAGGCAGGAGTGTAGTGCCATAATCTCGGCTCACTGCAACCTCTGCCCCTGGGTTCAAGTGATTCTCCTGCCTTAGCATTCCAAGTAGCTAGGGGTGGGATTACAGGTATGCGCCACGATGCCTGGTTAATTTTTGTATTCTTAGTAGAGAGGGAGTTTTGCTGTGTTGGCCAGGCTGGTCTTGAACTCCTGGCCTCAGGTGGTCCACCTAATTCGGCCCCCAAAAGTGCTGGGATTACAGGTGTGAACCAATGTGCCAGCCATAACTTAATTTAAAAAGGTAAGCAACATAGAAAGTATTATCCACACAAGCAATTTAGAAGAGATTTCGACAATATGAAATGAACCCATCACCCCACCTTCACTTAGTTTTCACTCTGAATCCCATATCTGGCCAATCAAAATGAAATCTGACAGATCATGAGGAACAGAGCATTCATGAATTCACGTAGTGGAGAACTGAATTTGAATGCCCAAGTTAGGCAAAAAACACTCTTGGGTGATATTCTAGCCTACCTTCATGTCCTTTGAGGGTTGTGATGACTGAACACGTGTTCTGTTCAAGCTTCAGCAGGGTGATCTGCCCAGAACAATCACCAACGAAAGCATACTGAGTGTCAAAGTCGTATCTGAGGAGAAGCAGTCAAGGATGTAGAACAGAAATCACCTGAAAATCCTCTCATAAGAGAGACACCAGCATTAGTCAAAGTTAGTTTTCAAAGTTAGAAAACATGCATTTTAAAGAGAATAAGCATATACCTAAAACTATAACAAAAAAGGAAATACCCAACTGAAAATCATGCAATATGTAAATATTGAAGGTAAACATTAAAACAGCTGTTATTACTGAGAAAGTTTATATTCATTCATTCAACAAGAACTCATTGAGTGCCTGTTACTATATCAAGCAAGATCCCAGGAACTGGCAATAAAAAAAGAGCTGGTAGTGCAGACACACACAAAAATAAGTAGACATAATCAAGTACAACAAAGTGTCAAAGAGTGAAACTGATAACTACTGGGCTGGGTGCAGTGGCTCATGCCTGTAATCCCAGCACTTTGGGAGGCTGAGGTGGGCAGATCACTTGAGGTCAGGAGTTCAAGACCAGCCTGGCCAACATGGTGAAACCCTGTCTCTACTAAAAATACAAAAAATTAGTTTGGTGTGGTGGCACACGTTTGTAATCCCAGTTACTTGGGAGGCTGGGGCAAGAGAACAGCTTGAACCCAGGAGGCAGAGGTTGCAGTGAGCTGAGATGATACCACTGCACCACTCCAGCCTGGGTGACAGAGCCAAAAAAAAAAAAAAAAGAAAGAAAAGAAAAGAATGCTAACTACTGAAAACAGCAAGAAAGCTCTGAAACGTAATGGTTATTTATGAAATATCTCTGAAAATAATGCAAATCTGACAGTAAACACAAGACATGAATCCATGTTTCTTTTGGCCTAGAGAATTTTGCTATAAATGAAGAGGATGATTCACTTTAAATTACTGTGGATAGTTCAATAATCCAAAATGCAGCTGTTTGTGGTGGTAGTACATTTAAATTTAGAAAATACATTAACTATTGGTCACAACTCATTACTTTCTCAATTTGTGGCCATAGATATTTCTGGAAAACCAGAAATTTATACACAACATGTTAACTAGTATTTATAATATGAAAGCTATTTACAACAGGATAACTATCACTCTTCCAAAACACAGTCAAAAAGAGCACGGTAAACTAGGGCATGACTGTGACTCTGTGTCATTTTCTACAAATCCATTATCAGAGGCCTAGCACATAACAAAAATGCTTATGTAGCACACACTGTATCTGAGTATTTTTTGCTTGTTTGATCCTAAAGTATATGGTACTATTTTAAATATCTCACGCTGTGCATTCATTTGTAGCAAACATTGTAAAGAAAGGCTTTCAATGGATGGAATTTTACTGTGCCAGACATTCAACTCTGAGAGAGAAACTACCACGGGGTGTCTGCCTGTTGTTGATAACCTTGATCTTGCCATCACTAAGATTCACAGCAGGCAGGGAGATTCTTAGGGAAGGGCGAGCTCTACAGGAAGCAAATTCCATGTAGTAGCAGGAATTTTTTAGGCAGTGATTTTCAGCACTTTGGGGGATCCTGAGCCATCTTTGAGAGTTTTATAAGGATTATGGGTCCTCTCCACACACAAAAAAGCATTAAGCAAAAGTTTTGTGTAAAACTCCTTGTAGCCCATTTAGGAATAAATCCCAAGGCTATAAACCCTGAATATTCAGTATATACACTTACAGAGTCTGCAAATAACCAATTACTAGAAGACAAGTTCCTGTTTTCCTTTCTTCACACAATAAAAAGTCTTTCCATTAGAAACGCAAAGATGTGAGAGGAAGGGTTTGCATTAATGGGCCTGGGTTTTCTACAATTTTGTATTAAAAACCTACAGCACCTCCCAGCAGAGAACAATTCATTTCATTATTATTTTTAATAAACCCAATTTACAGCAAGAAAAGCAAATATGGAAGTTCTTGGATTTTCGGTGAAATATGTATTAGGTTGGTGCAAAAGTAATTGCAATTTTTGCAATCACTTTCAATGGCAAAAAAAAAAAAAAAACACACAATTACTTTTGCCCAAACTTAAATAGGTTTCATTCAGTCTTTAGATCTCAATTAGCAGTTTGGGATGAGATTCAGAACCAAACACCGAGAAGCAGAGGCCAGGGGAAGGAGAGGTCCGTGGCTCTGAAGGATACTGCAGACACGAAGCCCAGGACGTGAAGAAGTGCCTCCCGAGCATGTTCCCGCTTCGCGTGCACATCCAGCTCACACACTTGTCGTAGCCAGTACTGATTACCCACTCTGTGGCCAAGCTGAAGATGATCGCAGACACCCGGTTCTGATGAGCTGCAGGAACAGAAAGGTGAAGAGATGTCATCTCCAGAAACAGCACTCCATGGGGAAGAACTGAGGCTCAATCTCTCAATCCGCTCAGCCGGGACACAGTTGTGTACAAGAGTGTACTGGAAATGCCTATCCTCTGTGAATATATTTCAGACAACCCGCCCCAGCTCAACAACTCACTAGCACAGGCTCTCTCCAAGGCCCTGCCCTCTGCTCCCCACAGTCGTGGCCACCAGAAGCTAGGAATCATTAAAGAGTAATGCCCAAAGAGAAATCAAATACTAGCTTAGAATATATATATATATGTTATATATACAAAATATATATATTATATATATATAATTTTTTTTTTTGCTATGCTCAAGAGAACATTTTTACTTTGCTCTAAAAAACTTTATGAACGAGGACCATGTGGAAAGCAGCAGTTGTAACAGGGCAATGTTTTTTTAATCGTCTGTAACTTCAGTGTTTTGAACCTTCCGAAAACACTGGCATTCTAAATAAGAGCAATGGCAGTTTTCTAAAATTAAAAAGTGGTGTTATGTGTTTTGTTTCTGGAATACTTTTTATCAGTGTGTAACATTTTATTATTCATAAAGACAAAGCTTTTGTGAAATTCTCTGTTCCAAAATAACAGCTGAGAATGAGGAAGGTTTTCTGTCTGTTACCTAACTCTGGAAAGATTTCCAGGTCGATTATAAGCCACACCAGGGCAGTGTTACCTGCCTTCTACTTCATCTGGTACAGAACTTTGCATGCAGTAGATGTTTAATAAGCGTCCAATCTGATGAATGAAGTCAAAGACCAGACAGAGAGACTGCTGACCTTGCTCTCAGCTGTACAGACTGCTTAGGAAGAACTGAGGGACTCTCCCCAAAAGTCTACGTGAAAGTCAGATTCATCCACCGCTAAAAGGTTACATTGAACAATTACATACTCATGAAGGATTCTGAAACTTAAAGGATGCTATGAGAGCTATTAATCTTAAATTCAGCTGGGCACAGTGGCTCAACACCTATAACCCCAGCGCTTTGGGAGGCCGAGGCAGGAGGACTATTTGAGGCCAGGAGTTGGAGACCAGTCTGGGCAACAAAGCAAGACCCCATCTCTACAAAAAAATTTTTTTAAACCAGCTGGGCATGGTGGCACTTGCCTGTAGTCCTAGCTACTCAGCAGGCTGAGGTGGGAGATCTCTTGAGCCCAGGAGTTGGAGGTTACATCGAACTATGTTTGCACCACTGCACTCCAGCCTGGGTAAGACAGTGAGACTCTGTCTCTAATTAAGAAATAAAAATTTAAAACTGAAAAAAATATTAAATTTGAGTAGGCCATGTCTTGTAAGATCTGTCTTAGCGTCTGACGTGGAGCCTAATGCTTTGTCTGCTTTAATATTTAATTTGCATAAATACAGGGTGTGTATTATTATACTGATTTTCAGATAAGAAAACCGAGAAGCAAATATTAAGTATTTATTAAATATTTATAAATATAAATTAAATATCAATATCAATATATGCCCAAAGTCTAATAAATTATAGATTAATTTGGTCTATCTGACTCAAAACACTTTTTCCACTAAACCTGTAGTTGTTAAACTCGGGCCAAATAGTCATAGGGTTTAAACTAGTTTGCGGTAAAGATGCTGTAGTGAATAGTCAACTATTTTTTCCTGGGAAGAACCATCCTATTTCTAAGATTACATCCTTTCTGCTGTTTTGTATTTTTTAGATGTCCTTTCTTTTGTGAAACTATGGTGAGATATAGTCATGCTTATTTTGCTTCATTTTTAGTTTTTAAACTCTCACTTGGCAAAATAAAAAATACAGCAATCCCTATATTAGTCCTCCAAAAGTTTTCTAAAATGTTATTAGTCAATGAAATATAAAGGTCCAAGAACCACTGCAAAAGAAACCTATGCTGCCTTATAGCCCATAAAGAACTACGACAACTGACGGGGCATGGTGGCTCATGCCTGTAATTCCAGCATTTTGGGAGGCCAAGGCGGGTGGATCACTTGAGGCCAGTAGTTCAAGACCAGCCTGGCCAACATGGTGAAACCCCGTCTCTACCAAAAATACAAAAAATTAGCTGGCCATGGTGGCTCGCACCTATAATCCCAGCTACTAGGGAGATTGAGGCAGGAGAATCGGCTGAACCCTGGAGGCGGAGGTTGCAGTGAGTTAAGATCGCACCATTGCACTCCAGTGTGGGCAACAGAGTGAGGCTCTTTCTAAAAAAAAAAAAAAAAAAAAAAGAACTTTGACAACCAAAATATAGATAAAAATAACATGAGATGATAACATGAGATGTGAGTATGAAATAATTTCATCCTTAATGACAGATGAAAAATACACACACACACACACACTCTTTTTTTTTTTTTTTAAAAGGGGGGTCAGGGTCTCATTCTGTTGCCCAGGCTAGAGTGCAGTGGTCTGATGATGGCTCACTGTAATCTCTAACTCCTGGGCTCAAATGACCCTCCCGCCTCAGCCTCCCAAGTAGCTGGGACTACAGTGTGTGCCACCATGGCTGGCTAATTTTTCACAGAGGTATGGTCTATGTTGCCCAGGCTGGTCTCAAACTCCTTGGCTTCTCAAAGTGCTAAGATTACAGGTGGGAGCTACCACAACAGGCCAGGTGAAATAATTTATTAAGGAATTTGCCTTTTGACAAAAACATTGACCAGGCATTTAAGGGTCTCCAAATCAGGCATTTAAAGGTCTTCAAACTTGTAGGTATATACCTCGTAAAGGAACTTACAGAGTCTTGATTATTTTAAAGATAAACTCATGCATGATAGCTGAGAATTCAAAGTTGTTTCTGGTGTTACAATAACACCATCATGCTAGTAATACATTACTCAATGCAGGATTGGAAAGTGTTATCATTCATTGTCACAAAACAGTTTCCCTGACCAACATACTCCAAGGGCAAATGTATGGGCATGGTTGCATCACTGTTCTCCTATTTTATTTATTTATTTTTGAGATGGAATCTCGCTCTGTTGCCCAGGCTGGAGCGCAGTGGTGCGATCTCGGTTCCCTGCAACTTCCGCCTCCCGGGTTCAAGCAGTTCTCCTGCCTCAGTCTCCTGAGTAGCTGGGACTACAGGCATGTGCTATCACACCCGGCTAATTTTTGTTATTTTTAGTAGAGACGGGGTTTCACCTCGTTGGCCAGGCTGGCCTCAAACTCCTGACCTCAAGTGATGCACCTGCCTCGGCCTCCCAAAGTGCTGGGATTACAGGGGTGAGCCACTGCACCTGGACGCTTTTCTCCTATTTTAAATTTGGAACAGGTGAAACAATACATAGGAAAAAGCAATTTGGCCTTCTTAATAAAGTATCCTATCATTAGACCACATTTCACCAAGATTAACATGTATGTAAAACATCTACACTCTAATTCTTACCTTTATCCACAAGCATTAAATATAAAATTTAGAAGTATAGAGTGAATAAAATGAGGCTACATGTTATGTCTTCTGGTGAAGTTTCTGGGAATCAGCTAATTGGTCTGACGGGAATCCACAACTTAATCAAAACGCTTTAGTTTTGCAACTTCAATCTGAAGTTGTCATTGGGATCTTGCTTTTGTTAAGTTTTAAAATACTGAAATTTACTAAATAAAGTAAAAACTGAAAAAAAGGTATATGTCACAGATGCCACAAAGTATTGATAGCTTTGTAGTGAAAAGTGCTTACAAATCAGTTAGAAAACACTACACCTCCCTGGGAATACGCACAAAATCATAAACAGACATTCAGAAAATACGACAAGTGGTCAACATTAAATAAAGCTTAAATCATTTTCAAATTGCGAACTTTCTTGACTATTAAACAGGAAAAAGAAATTATAAGGCAGCAATGTTGTGAAGACGTCATGAACACGTATTCTCAGTCGCCATTCGCAGGACTGTAAAAACTTGCACTACTGCTGTGAAGCAGTTTGCAAAGTAAATCTAGGGCATTTAAAAAACTTTTTAATGTCTGACCTGGTTATTCCACTTTGTAGGAATTTGTCTTTAAAAAAAAAAAAAAAATTCCTCACTGAGCACTTAGGGATTTGTCTTAAATAATCAGAATTACAGATTTGGCTAGGTGTGGTGGCTCACACCTGAATTCTAGCACTTTGGGAGACTGAGATGGCAGGGTCACTTAAGCTCAGGAGTTCGAGACCAGCCTGGGCAACATACTGAGATCTCGTCTCTATTTAAACAAAACAAAATGAAACAAATGCATTATAGGATTAGAGTCAGAATAACAGTCAAGAATACCCCTCCACATATGTGTATACACTTATTCAAGAATACACACACACACACACATGTATACACATATCAAAAAACTGTACACACACTCACAGTTATATACACACACATACATGTATGAAGAGTAGTGTGTGTGATCAAAAAAATGGAAGCGGTACACATATCCAACGATAAAAGAATGGTTAATTAAATCTGATAATGTGCCTGATATACAAAATTTTAAATGCTAATGAGCAAGAAAAAGCTGAAATATCACTAAAAGACAACAGTCTCTCTCATTGTGGGGTTAACAAAACTAACAAGTTAATGTGAAAATCTAATTTTCAGCATAAGAGATGATGTTCTAGTTTTGTGTATGTCTACATGTATGTGTATGCAAGATAATATGTATTATAATTACCTGGGTAGGTCTTGATAAAGTTCATTTTATTAAAATCTTCAGAAACGTGAAATTCCTAAAAGCAAATGCACGAAATAAAAAATTTTAAGAGTGTTATGGTTTTATAAAACAACAGAAACTTAACTTTCAAAAACGAAGTAAAATCCAAAAATGATTCTCACAAGACCTGGGACTTAAGACGAGTTATTTAGGAATGATATGAATTGCTTCTTTCATCAGACCTGTCCTCAGGCCAACATCGCTTTGGGAGAACAGACCTAATTGAACAAAAGTAAGTGCTGCTGACCAGCATGGGATTTGTGTCCACTTCTTCCTGCCCAAATCAGCACTCCGTATTCCTTCTCCCTCCTACTACAAAACTGTATTCTCTTAGGGACACAAAAAACCCCTCAAGACACTGCATATTAAAGCAAAACTGCAAAGACCCCTCACTAACAGAGCTCTCAGCAAAGTAAAAACAGGGCGCTGGGTAGCTCAGCAATTTAGTGGGGGAAAGTACACCTATTTAATATACAAACACACACAACAACAACAAAAAAGAAGTGTTGAGATTGTAGGTGGTTTTTGGCTTCTTTTTATACTCCTGTGTTTTCCAAATTTTATTTATTTATTTATTTATAGACAGAGTTTCGCTCTTGTTGCTTCCTCGGCTCACTGCAACGTCTGCTTCCCAGGTTCAAGCGGTTCTCCTGCCTCAGGCTCCCGAGTAGCTGGGATTACAGGAGTGCACAACCACACCCAGCTAATTTTTGTATTTTTAGTAGAGATGGGGTTTCACCATGTTGGCCAGGATGGTCTCGAACTCCTGACCTCAGGTGATCCACTCACCTCGGGCTCCCAAAGTGCTGGGATTACAGGCGTGAGCCACTGCACCTGGCCCCAAATTTTCTATAGATGTAATCCTTTATAACTTGGAAAAGAAATTTAAAGTACATATGTTTTATTGGGAAAAAAAATCAACCTCAACATAAAACTATGAAAATAAAACTCTAAAGAAAAATCACTAATTACTAGTACTACCATTATTATTATTATATTATTATTATTTTGAGACAGAGTCTCGCTCTGTCATCCAGGTTGGAGTACAGTGATGCAATCTCAGCTCACTGTAACCTCCGCCTCCTGGATTCAAGCGATTCTTGTGCCTCAGAGTCCTGAGTAACTGGGACTAAAGGTGTGTGCCATCACACCTGGCTAATTTTTCTTGTATTTTTAGTACAGATGGGGGTTTCACCATGCTGGCCAGCCTGGTCTTGAACTCGTGGTCTCAAGTGATCCACCCGCCTTGGCCTCCCAAAGTGCTGGGATTATAGGCATAAGCCACTGCGCCCAGCCAAGAATACTATTATTGATCAATGCTAAATTGACATAGATATTATGAATTGCTGACAGACCAGAGTGAGGGGGGAAAAAAGCACACAAAAGAATACAGATTTCTTGTTCTCCATCTTGTTTTTGCAAAGTAGAAAAAATGTATCAGCACGGTATATATTCATCCATATTCAGTGGAAGAGCAATTGATCAACTGCTGACTAATGTTAAATTGGATTTGCCTTGCCCCTTTCCATTGAACAACTGTAACAGTTCTTATGTGCCATCCTATAATGACAGTCTCCCCTTGAACTGAAGGCCACAAAAAGGGTCTCTAGGGAGATAAATGCACCAACACTGCACTACTGCACTATGTGAAGTTTGTACTTAGTGGCTTCTCGTTATATATGTGCATGCACATCATCATGATATTCCCATAAAATTTACTGAAGGCTAAAACGGAGAGCTTTGGCATTCACTACTGTGTCATGCATTTCCAGCACCCTTGCCTGCCACCCGCTGCTGTGTGAACTGCATGGGCAGGGAGCCTGTCCCTTCTACTGGATCTTTCTTCTTGACCCTTACATCAAGGCGGCTGCTGCTTTTTCTTTTTTTTTTTTTTTCCTTCTTTTGAGACAGGGTCTTGTTCTGCCATTCAGGCTGGAGTGCAGTGGTGCAATCTCTGCTCACTGCAACCTCCACTTCCCAGGCTCAAGTGATCCTCCCACCTCAGCCTCCTGAGTAGTGGGGCTACATGGTTATGCCACCACAATAAGCTATTTTTTCAATTTTTGTAGAAATGAGGTCTCACTATATTGCCCAGGCTGGTCTCCAACTCCTGGGATCAATCCTCCTGCCTCAGCCTCCCACGGGGCTGAGATTATCGGCATGAGCCACCACACCTGGTCCAAGGCTGCTGCTTTCAGTAAAAAAAAAAAAGAAACTCTCATAACTATACTTCTACTTCTGCTGTCCCCTTCTCAGCCAAAAGCTTCTCTAATGATCAGCCCACCCTGGTTACCCTCAGGCTGTCTGGCTCCCTCATCTCCCAGTCACACTTCAGTCCATGGCTCACCAGGGCTACCCCACTGCATGGAAAGGCTCTTCTTGTTATCAGCAGCTGCCTTCTAAGTGCCATCCCAAGAGCACTGCCCAGGCCTAATTTCATCCTCTCCCTCCTGCTCTTGACACCTTTACTCACCTCCTCCCTGAAACTCACTGCCCTCCGGCTTCCGCGGCTGCACTGTCCTGGCTGGCTCTCCTCCCTCTTTGCCTATTCTTCCTGTCTCTCCTTTAGGCTCCCAGCCCTCTGGCTTTTCTTTAAATATTGACATTTCCCTAGGAATGTGACCTTGGCCTTCTGCTTTTCTCAATCTACCAGCTCTGTCTAGTTCACGGCAGCCACCATTGTAGTTTCCACTGACGTCTACATTCAGGGAACTCCCAACCCCTGCCCAGACCAAACCCTGAGGTTCAGGCACACACACCCAAGTTCAGTTCTCAAAACTTAACTCATCACCTTTCCCCAAAAAAGATCAGCATCTTTTCAGTCTCTGAAGCAGCTAACTCCTGGCTAGAAACCTGAAAGTCATCTTAAAGCGGCTCTCTATTTCAACACACACCTTTATTCAAACACCCAGCCCTGCTTCCCAGACAGTTCTTGAGGCCACAGCCTCTTCTCCTCCCCACCCCGGTGTTTCACGATCTCACACTGGGATCTGGAGGCAGCCTCCTAACTGGCACCCATACTTTCAGCCTTGTCCCTTCAAAGCCTGCTACACATTTCTGAGCTGACAAAAACCAGAAACCTGCTCCTGTTCCTCATTAGCGAAACCATGTAGTTTCCCTAAAGCACTTGATCCTTGGGTTCACCTAGAGGACTTACTACTTATTATACAGATCCCCAGGTCCCTCCCTAGTGATTCCGAAGCTCTGGGTCTGGCACAGAGCTGGGGAATCTGTATTTTAGTTAAGTCCCCTCAATGACTGGTGTGACTACGCAAGGTCAGGAAACTCAGCTTACATAAGGTGGTCTGGGCCCCTTAAAGTCACACTCAAGGATCATCACTTCCCCTCCTCCCTGGCTGGCCTCCCCTTTGACTCTACTCCAAAACGCTGTCATTATTTAGGCCTCAGGTCTGGGCCCCGACTTCTTTCATTCCCTCCCCAGCTACTCAATCATTCTTGTGGCTTGAAAAATGACCTGATGATGATGTCCTCTGCCCAGACCTCTCCGGGGCTCCAGTTTTGTTTATCCTGTGCCAACTTCACATGGCCAGTCAGAAGCTCACCGGTATCTCAAACGAGGCTGGCTCTCACTGTCCCCTTCCCTCCAACTGCCTCCCCAGCCCAGCCTCACCCTTCTCAGGAAACAATACTACTTCCTACCCAACTGCTCAAGCCAAAAATCTGGCTGTCACCTGACTTCTCTTCCTCTCCTCTACACAGTCAACTTATCTCAGATGTCTCCAAGACTTATCTCAAGTCCATCCACTTGTCCTCCTTCATGGCCACTGTCCTTTCACCCAGACCGCTAAACAGCCCGATTATCCCACCGCCACTCTGGCCGCCCCTCATCCGTTTTCCACCCAGCAGCTAGAGGGATCTTTGAAAAATGTAAATTATATCATGCTATTCATCTGCTGAAAACACTTTAACAGCTTCTCACTACAATTACATTAAAATTTAAAGCTTTACCCAGACCTACAATACCCTGCACGACCTGGCGGCCTCTGCCCACTTCTCCAATCTTCCTAGGGTGCCTCCCTATCGCCCCGCACCAGCAAGCCACTATAACCTCCTCTGAGTCCTCTGATGCACAGAGATCCTTCTCACTTGGGTCTTCTGGACACTGACTTCTGGAAACTTCCCTGGCTCTCGGCTGGCTGGCTCTGTGACAAAGATGCCAAGACAATTAAATGGGAAAAAAATAGTCTTTTCAACAATTGGTGCTGGGATAACTGGATGTCCACATACGAAAGAATAAATGTGGAACCCCTCTGTGATACCACATGTAAGAATTAACTTACAATAAACCAAAGATCTAAATGTAAAGCTAAACTATAAAACTCTCAGAAGAAAATACAGGTGTAAATCTTGATTTATACTTATCTTCATAGGTATAAATGACCTTGGATTAGGCAATGGCTTCTTAGATATGGTATCTAAAGCTTAAGTAGCCAAAATAAATAAATAAATAAATTGGACTTCACTAAACTTTAAAAATAAAGTAAAAATGCAGCTCTTAGGAGAAGATATTTGCAGAACATATATAAGGGTCTAGTATCTAACATACAGAAAAAACTCTTACAACTCAACAATTAAAAAATACTCTATTAAAAATGGGCAAAGGACTTAAACAGATATTTCTCCAAAGAAGATATAAATGACCAACAAGTACCTAAGAAGATCCTCACCATTACTAGTGATTAGGAAAAGGCGAATCAAAACCACAATCTAGTACCATTTCACATTCACCAGGGCGACCATAACAAAAACAAAACAAAACAAAACAAGCAGAAAGTGACAAGTGTTAGCAAGGATTTCGAGAGCCTGAATATGTACAAAAAACATGTACATGAATTTTCATAGTAACCTTATTGATAACAGCCAAAAAGTGAAAACAACCCAAATGTCTATCAACTAATAAAGGGATAAACCAAGTGCAGTATAGAATACTATTCCATGGCCAAAAGAGTGAATTAATTCAAACAGGCATGAACCTTGAAATCATCATGCTAAGTGAAAGACAAACATAAAAGGCCACACGTACTGTATGAATCTATTTATCTAAAGTGTCTAAAATAGGCAAATCCTTGGATTCAGTAAATTAGTGATTTCCAGGAGCTGGGGGAAGGGGCAATGGTGAGTGACTGCTAATGGGTATGGGATTTTTTTGCAGGGAGGGGTGATGAAAATATTCTGGAATTAGAGAATGGTGATGGTTGCACAATCTTATGAATATACTACAAAACCACAGAATTATGTACTTTAAAATGGTAAATATAATTATGTTATATAAGTTATATTTCAATTAAGAAAAAATAAATATATGCATACAATTTGACCCACAAAAATGCCAATCTATAATAGACTAAAAACTTAAATATCATGTCCTTTACCAAAGATAGTTTGAGAAGTATTGCCTTAAAGAGTTCTGTGAGTTGCTGGCTGAATGGCTACACACACACACACACACACACACACACACACACACAGAGGCTCTCCACCATCACGGCTGAGGGATGTGGATTGCTGTAGGTGACATATTCACTCTATGAAGGCTATGATCTGTGGGTCAGCCTGAGCATCCAGCTATCAATTACAACAGCATTCTGAGTTCCAAGGAACTAGTTTAAAATGAAGCAACAATTTAATCCATTTTTGACCTAATATCTATACTGAATTAAACTTTTTTTTTTTTTCTTTTGAGACATGGTTTCCCTCTGCTGCCCAGGCAAAAGTGCAGTGGTGCAATCTCAGCTAGCTGCAGCCTTGACCTCCTGGGCTCAAGCCATCCTCCCACCTCAGTCTCCTAAGTAGCTGGGACCACAGGCATGCACCACTACCAAATAATTTTTTTGATTTTTCGTAGAGATGAGGTCTCACTGTGCTACCCAGGCTGGCTTCAAACTCCTGGGCTCAAGTGATCTGTCCGCCTCAGCTTCCTAAAGTGTTGGGATTACAGATGTGAACCACCATGCCTGGCCTAAATTAAACATTTTTCATGCCAAACAATCAAGCATCCACTGTTAATCCAAAGTTAACTGGCCAATAAGGGACATGGGAGGTCAATATAAAGAAAATAATAAATACATTCTAAAAGCTACCTACCATTACGGCTCCATTATCCTGGCCCACAAATATCCGTCTGCTGTCATGATGGTAAGCCATAGCAGAGCAAGGAGCTGCCAGAAAGACAAAGAGCACATTACCAGCAAAGCTAAGCACTTTAAGTCATTCTTCAAAGTGACTGATTAAGAACTATATAATTTAGGTTCACAGAGAGAGAGTAAAAATGTTTTCTAAAAATTACGTAAATTGAAAACGTTATTAAAGTCCTCTCTGTTGCCTTAGTTTAAAACCTTATTTTCACAAATCTTCTCAGTTATTTCTATAATGCTGGGTGAAGCGAGCCAGCACGAAGTTTCATCTGACTGAAAGTCCTACCTGTCGTCTGGCAAGCCTTGGGGACCAGGGCTTGCAGTGTGTGATCTGCTGCCCAAAACACTCAGGAGGTCATCCTGCCCCTGCCACCCTTCCCATCAAATGTCAAAGAGTAGCTAGAATCTGTGCAAAGATGGGTTCCCAGCACCAGAATTCCTATTCTATGGCATATGTGAGCATATGTGAGGTGCAGATATATGGCATATGTGAGTTGTGAGGTGCAGACAGGTTTCCTTGTCCATAGCAGTCTTATGTGACTGGGAGAACAGCTGCCTCTCCTCATGTAAACACTCTTTCCATGTTCTACCTACCCGCTTCCAGAAATCACAGGCTAGAGAACGAGTTTCAGCAAGGAGAAATTCTAAATTGTCTCCTTTTACCAAAAATCAGAATTAAAGTGATTTATAAATTGGAACATTTGAAAAAATATATATCTGGGTTTGTTTCAGCCTAAGGAATTTTAGTTAGCAACGGAAGAACCAAAACAAGGAAATGCATGCTAGGGAAAAACAAAACAAAACAAACGAATTTGAATTTACTTTGGAATAGAACTTCTTGTAAAAGACAAGTGGGTATGGTGGCTCATGCCTATAATCTCAGCACTTTGGGAGGCCAAGGCAGGAGGATTGCTTGAGGCCAGGAGTTGAGACCAGCCTGGGCAACATAGTGAGACTCCATCTCAAAAAAAAAAAAAAAAAGATAAAAGAAAAAATGTCTTTTAAATGAAGTCATCATTTGAATATAGTTTAAAGTTCTCTCTCTCTCGTAGGCCGATATCCTCACCAAAGGAAGTAAACTACAATACTGGATTGTACCCCAAAGCAAAAACATAGCTAATTGCATGATCAGACCATAGAGACTGTTTCAGTTGCATCCAAGAACCACGTATTTGACTCTGAAAGGTACATACGGAAATTGTGCATAAAACAATTAGAATTGACTATGAGCCTGTATACTCCTTATCCACCATACTGATGTTTGGGATGAAAAGAACAATCATGTATATGATATATATACATATATATACACACACACACATCTCTTTATACTATCAAAATGCTCTTTAATAACCATGCATACACTTATCTTTGACAAATCAAATCATCATACTTTGATGCGTTCAGAGATTCACTGTCATCATTTTTGCTTGCTTTCTAGATGGCACTAAATGCATTAGTTTTAGGCTTCTTTTCAATTTTTTTAATGCCCAACCCTATAACAAACAACATAAATATGTAAAATCCCTCTTTTGTGTAAAAATCACAAAGTGCTGGGTAATTTTATGAAGCTAGACAATTATAACATTTGAAAAAGAAAAAAAGGGTTTCCTTAGTTCGTTTTGTTTTATATAGTGATATCCTGGCTCTCTCCCTGGAAAGGAGGTTTCTAATTGAGATAAGCAATATAAATGTAATATAGAAGGGGAGGAGTTGGATATAAAGCAAAACAGGAATCATCTTTCAAATCAGGTAACTTTTTTTTTTTTTTTTTTTGAGATGGTGTCTCGCTCTGTCACCCAGGCTGTAGTGCAGTGGTGCCATCTCAGCTCACTGCAACCTCCGCCTCCTGGGTTCAAGCAATTCTCATGTCTCAGCCTCCCAAGTAGCTGGGATTACAGGCACCCACCACCACACCAGGCTAATTCTTGTATTTTTAGTAGAGACGGGGTTTCACCACGTTGGCCAGGCCAGTCTCGAACTCCCGATCTCAAATGATCAGCCTGCCTCGGCTTCCCAAAGTGCTGGGATTACAGGCATGAGCCACCATGCCCAGCGAAGTCAATGAACTTTTAAAAAGCCATCATTGCAGTCCAAAATCAAATGTTTAAAACTGTGGATCATACCACAGGGCCAAATTCAGCTGACTGCATATTTTGTTAAGAGTTTTTTTTTTCCTTTGGAACACAGACCTTTCATTTATGATTGCTTGCATGCTACATTTATGTATAACTTATGATTGCTCACATGCCATATTTATGTCTTATTTATGACTGCTTGCATGCTAGGAAGGCAGACTTGAGTAAGTGCCACAGAGATTGGCCCACGTAGTCCAAATGTTTACTGTCTGGCCCTTTGCATAAAAAGTTTGTGGACCTACCCATCACTGTGGTGGGAAGCATAGGTTTGGAGTCATAGATGAACATGGATTGGAATTCCAATGACAAGAAATCAACTTAACCCTTCTAACCTCAGCTTGCTTGTTCACAAAACGGTAAAAATATTATCTGCCTTGCATAGCTGTTGTGATGGTTTCATAAAATTATATTACCAAAAAAAAGGCACGAAGCACACAGTAAAGATAGAAGCCAAGAGTTACCATTTTTCTTCAGCTAAAGCAGTCTGAAAGTTATTTTTTTATGTGAGGTAATGTTATAGAAAGAACACAATTGGACTGCATATAGCAGTATAATAAGGCTTGGCTTATTGATCACTCTGTCAAGTCACAGGAAAAAGTTTAAATTGGTGGATATAACCACTAAGACATCCTAAATTGGATAATCTGCAGATAGTTTTTAGAACTAACATGGCATTCTGCTTTTCGTATTCTAAATTTAATTTTGAAATAAAAAGTCATTCTAAAACAGACAAGCAGTTATTTTTCACAATTCGTTCACTCTGTTTTCTTCTTGTGGTGTATCTGCAGTTTTATCAGAAGATACAGGTCCAAATAGAAGCAATAAAGAAGCATCTAGAAGTAACACACTGAACATGTGCAGATACAAACATGCAGGTGTCGACTACCCACTGCGAAGCTGTGTCTGTTCTTTCAAGTTCCTCCTTCCTGATCTAGAAGCTCCTTCAGGAGGGGACAGTTAAGCCAAGTTAAAAAGGGCTGAAGACAGAGAGATCCACCGCCACTTGCTCAAGATCTAACAGCCAAGAGAGCACACACATTTCTACTGCTAAGGTTTTGGTGCTCTGGGAGAGAAATTCATTAGAAAGTTGTACTAAATATTTGGGGGAAATGCAAGTCAAGGAGTAACTGAACTAAATATGGGACAAAATCCATCTCAGTCTCTGTCTCTATTCTAATGAGAATGAACTTCAAGATTAAGGACTCAGGGAGATTAAGCTATGACCAAAATGCTAATTATGAAGGAAGGGAAGAGTGGGAAGCATAAGAGCCATAGTATTAACAACATTTTCCACAATGATAACAAAACATTTCCCTGCACTGATATGCGTTCCTCAGGCTGTTGCTACTTCCAGCTCTCAGATCTATCTCTGGGTCACTGGAAAGTAAGGAATTAGCCTAACAAGTCTTTTGGGGAGACTGGGGCAGGTTGGGTAACAGGTCGGCTCAGAGGCCCAGGATGTCCCACCTACCTCTACCCTGCTGCCAAAATTTCCAAAGTAAATTTATCAGACAGGCTCCATAAACACCTTCACTAAGACATCGGTTACTTCATATCTCAAGGTGAGAATTTAGTGTGAGAACCAAGGTTATGCATCCACAGTACATGCAGACATGGGTAACAGAAGAGATGCCACTGCTTGGCACAATAAATTATGATCAGGTTTTCAAGAAGTCTTCAAATGTCCTATGCATTATAAAGCTTTACTGTTCCTTTCATAATAGTTATCTTTATACTAGGGTTTCAGAAGGTCTCTCTCAATTTCACTGAGTGACTACCAAGACAGAGAAGCTGGCTAGCCTGCCCAGGCTGTTGGTAGAAGGCAGAAAAATAAAAAACCCTAATAAACGACAAACTTTTTGTGAAAATTATTACAGGATCTAAATGCTGCATGCACAATGAAATATATGTATAAAGGAGAAAGTGCTACCAGAGGAGAGAGGTGCCTGAAAGGATGACTCAAGCTGATGAGATGTAGTTTGCTGAATAACTGACTGCTCTGTCTTTATAACGAACTCCACAGCCCTGGAATACCTCTTAAGAAAGCAGTGGACAGCATCAGCAGTATCTGCGACCACTGTCAAGAGCTCTTCTTTGGAAAACTTGAAATGGTCTTCAGTAACAAACCATCAAGCATGCACTGAAGTCTTTTTTCTTTTCTTAGGGAGGGTCCTCTGTGTACTAAAAATCTTAACTGAGGAAAATCACTCATTAAGGACCAAGCCTCAAGGAAATTAGCAGCTACGGAGGCCTTCTATCTGGCTACTTGGCATCACGGAGTTGACTCCCCGCTTGAACTTTGGTGACGTCCAGGCATTGTCTACGTGGCTTTCTTTTCAAGAACGGTTGAAGAAAAGAAGCGGGAGGTAAGGATGGTGATGCTGCTAAGATTCACATCAAGGGCTAAAGTTTATGTGTCACTTTATGTCAGTACATCCCAGGGCTGCTTTTTTTTTTTTTTTTTTTTGAGATGGAGTTTGCTCTTGTTGCCCAGGCTGGAGTGCAGTGGTGTGATCTCGGCTCACCACAACCTCTGCTTCCCGGGTTGAAGCGATTCTCCTGCCTCAGCCTCCTGAGTAGCTGGGATTACAGGCTAATTTTGTATTTTTGGTAGAGATGGGGTTTAATCATGTTGGCCAGGCTGGTCTCGAACTCCCGACCTCAGGTGATCCACCCGCCTTGGCCTCCCAAAGTACTGGGATTACGGGTATGAGACACCACGCCTGGCCTCCAGGGCTGCTTTAAAGGCTCCAAGCAGAAGTTTCATCATCCAGATTTATTTACAGAACATACCTGACTGCTGAGAAAATTCTCTATTTAGAATGTGTTGTACCTTGGACCATGTCTCTCAATGGTCCAGAGGTTGGTGAAAAGGTTGGGCAAAGGTAGTCATGACGCTATGGAGGGCACAGTCCTTTCTTCGTGTCAATATTGGCTACTACAAAGGACAAAGTTACTACTAATATAAGTTGGCCAAGTTAAGACGAAGAAAAACTGAGAACATGTTCATTTTCCTATTTTTTTTTTCAGTTTTGCTCAAGTCTAATTCAGTTAAGCCATAGACTCAACTTCCTTTGCAAAAAAAAGGACTTTTCCTGCAGTTTATTAGAGCCTGTCAGAGGTATTAGGCAACTAAGAAACTCATTTTGAAATCTAGCAGCAATATTTAATCAGACATTTTGAAACTTATTTATTTTTATTTTTTTGAGACACAGTCTCTGTCGCCCAGGCTGGAGTGCAGTGGAGCAACCTCGACTCACTGCAACCTCCCACTCTGGATTTAAGTGATTCTCCTGCTTCAGCCTCCTGAGTAGCTGGGATTACAGGCGCACACCACCACGCCCAGCTAATTTTGTATTTTTAGTAGAGACGGGCTTTCGCCATGTTGGTCAGACTGGTTTCGAACTCCTGACCTCAGGTGATCTCCCCACCTTGGCCTCTCAAAGTGCTGGGATTACAGGTGTGAGCCACCGTGTCCAGTCGATATTTTGAAATTTAAATCATCAATAACATTAGAGACATTTCTCTCAAATGGAATAGTTCAGCTACTTACAGGCCATTGTGTGGTAAATGCTGGGCCAGTATTGACCACTGTCTCTTTTCAGCCATACCCGGATGGTTCTGTGGACAAAAGAAAAGGAAAAATGGAGTTGTTTTTAATAATTTTATCTTTTGTGTTCCATGAGAACTTAATTTTTAAAATTTGTTTAATACTATTTCCTAACTGACCTTATAAAATTAACTGGACAAACTGGACAAATATATACATATATGTACACATACATATATAGTATATAACATATATATTATATACAGATACATATATAGCATATCATATAAGCACATCATATACATATACATACTATATATAGTCACATAAAGTATGATGATATAAGTTATGCAGTACCTAGGAGTAAGAATTTCAATTCATTTTAATAATATGAAAATGTTCGGCCGGGCGCGGTGGCTCACGCCTGTAATCCCAGCACATTGGGAGGCCCAGGCGGGTGGATCACAAGGTCAGGAGATCGAGACCATCCTGGCTAACACGGTGAAATCCCATCTCTACCAAAAATACAAAAAACATTTAGCCAGGCATGGTGGCGGGCACCTGTAGTCCCAGCTACTTGGGAGGCTGAGGCAGAAGAATGGCGTGAACCCGGGAGGCAGAGTTCACAGTGAGCCGAGATCACACCACTGCATTCCAGCCTGGGCTACAGAGTGACACTCCGTCTCAAAAAAAAAAAAAAAAAAATGTTCATTACATAATGACATAGAAAGAAAACAGAACTGTTAACTGCTTTTCTTGGTAAAAACAAACTGCGTGCACTTGGTGGTTGACCGCCTGGGCCAAGAGGAAGGCGGTGGCTGTGAGTGGGAAGAGGCTCATGGAGGAGTGGTATGGAGAGGGGCGCCACACACACCGGGAGTACACAGCAGGCTCAGGCTTGGGCATGGCTTTCTGCCTTCTGCCCCCCGGAGGAAATCATTCCACACAACATCTCTGGGGATCTTTTTCATCGGAACACGCACAGGGTGATGAGGAAATCCCGTGCACATGCAGGAAAATGACAAACGACCAAAATAGCCAAAGTTTAATATTCGGGTTTATGACCTCAGAGAAACAATGGGAGCCCTGCGGTTCCTGCTCCTGCACTCTCAAGGCCTCTGGGTGCCAGGCCTCTCCGTCTCCTGCATCCCTAGGACATCGGGGACTCCGCGGGTGATCGCCCTGCTCTGCCTCTGTACTCATAACCAGCTTATTGTCCCCATTGCCAACTCTGTGACAATCACTTTTATATTTCTCATTCATTTATTTATTGATGAGACAGAGTCTCGCTCTGTCACCCACATTGGAGTGCAGTGGCACGATCTCGGCTCACTGCAACCTCCACCTCCTGGGTTCAAGGGATTCCCCTGCCTCAGCCTCTCAAGTAGCTGGGACTACAGGCGCCTGCCGACAAGCCCAGCTAATTTTTGTATTTTTTTGTAGAGATAGGGTTTCATCATGTTGGCCAGGTTGGTCACGAACTCCTGACCTCAAGTGATCCGCCTGTCTTGGCCTTCCAAAGTGCTGGAATTACAGGCATAAGTCATCACACCCGGTTCTTATTTATTATTTTTTAAGATGCAGTCTCACTCTGTGGCCCAGGCTGGAGTGCAGTGGTACAATCACGGCTCACAGCAGCCTCGACTTCCCAGGCTCAAGCAATCCTCCCACCTCAGGATCCCAAGGTGCTGGTATTAGAGGCATGAGTCACTACACCTGACCCATTTTTATATTTCTAACAGCAATGTAGATGCTGGCATACAGTAGGAGCTGAATAAATGTTTATACCCTTAACCTAAAATACATGAAGCCTAAATATTGATACCATATGTTTCCAGTTTTGAGGCCAAGTAAAACTGGATGGTGGGATGCATAAGTAGCGTGTCCTGGAGGCAGTGTCCTCCCTGACCCTTGAGACCAGGGAGACCCTCACATCCCCTGACCACAGCACTTCCCAGGAGGTCCATCCACGCCCTCCTCGACGCAGTGCCAATTACCACAAGGCCTGCAAGCCAGACCTATGCGAGCACAAGGCGGAGACCATTTGTTTGTGGCAATGAAGAGCATGATAAGACCTTCGTCAGGGACTACCACCTGAGTCCCCATGTCCTCATTCACACGGGAGGAAAGCTGTGCAGCTGGTGGCTATAAGCAAAAATGCAACACAAAATCAAACTTGAAGAAATATTTTCAATGCAAACATGAAAATGCGCAAAGACAACAGGTATGCGATTTGAAGGCTTTCAGAAGATCTTTAAGAAGCATCAGCAGCTGGACATCCAACAGGGCCAGCACACCAGTGACCTGCTGCTCAAGAGTGCCCGGGGGGATCAGGAAGCACCCATCGCACCCAGCAGGCTAGGCCCACGCGACCACAGACCCATGAGGGCTGCACAGTATATGGCAAAGGGATGTTCCTTGGTGGCCAAAACATAGACAGAACTTCTGAAATGTGAGAGAAATTCCTCAGGAGGAAGTATTAATAACATGCGCAGTATGCCAGAAAACATTTACATGGAAAGATGATTTTCAGTAGCACACGAAAACACATCCCAGAGAGGGACGTGGGTCGCTGCCCAAGAGAACAGGGTGGAACCTGCACAGTTGCATGTAATCTCCAGAGCCACCTCTCCTTTCAGGAGGAAGAGTGCCCCGTTGTGTATGACCACGCTGGCAGTGGGAAACCTTGCAATAAAACAAAGTCTCACTAGGCATGGCTGGTGCAGGATCCTGACAAGAAAATGGAGCTCAAAGTAAAACCATCTGGTGAAAAATGGGGTTTTTCACTTTTCACTTGCCTCAGTGGATGCATCCCTCCTCAAGGGAAAAAGATGGGCAAGGCTTATCTTTGCTTAAAACAGAGCGGCTGAACCGTACGGAGCACAAGGTACTCTCGACAGCGGCTATCCTCGCCTTCAGCTAAGCATCACATCACTTTGTTTACAGGACCGCAGACCAGTGGGCCTGGTTATCTTCCCTCGGAAGCCTGTTTTTCTTTATTAAAATCACTGATGCAGAACAACAACCAAAAATACAAGTAAAACTGGTCAGAGACCAGAGGGACAGTCAGAATAGTGGTTGCTTCTGGGGTAAGAGGAAGACTGAATGCAACTGGAAGAAAGAAAAATTTCTAGGGGAACGGCAAGGCTCTGGGTGTTGGTGACCACGGGTATATGTATTTGTTAGAACTTGCCCAACTCTACCCAAGATCTGTACACACGATTATATGTGATTAAAGTAAAACTAGTAGTTGGTCTTTATTTATCCAAACAAATAAGATGACTTAGCACCACAGTGAGATTAACGCTATTCTGTATGTGAACTGGATAGAAACAAGGCTTAGGGCTAACACAACTGGATCAAACCTCTAGATCCACCAACCAATTGATAGGAAATACACAGGACATGGGAATATATTGAGCACCATTCAGCGAAGTCAAGACTGCAGGAAACTCAATAGAGAAATGACTCACTTTCTTCTACAAATAATTTGCAAGGGAAAAAAAAAATAGAGAGGAAGGACAAACCTATGATTAAAGAGATTTTAGAGGTCTATCAAGTAATTAAAATATGTAGACTTAGTTAAATCCTAATTCAAACTAAAAGATATGTATAGATATTGAGGATATTTTAAAGATTTTTTTTTTTTTGACAGGGTTTCACTCCGTCACCCAAGGTCTCCCGGAGTGCAGTGGTGTGATCATAGCTCACTGAAGCCTTGAACTCCTGGACTCAAGTGATCCTCCCACCTCAGCCTCCTGAGCAGCTGGGACAACAGGTGTGTACCACCACACCTGGCTGTTGCTCATTCCTTTGGGTGTGTTAATGGTGTCACTGTTTGTTTTTTAAGAAGTAAACAATAATTCCTATATATCACGTTTGCCATTCTCATTTGTCATCCTCAGCATGACTACCACAGTCTAGGTCCCATCTTTCACACAGCAGTCAGCCTGCTCTCACAGGAGTAGTGGACTCTTGCCTCCCTCTGCTCCATCTCCAGTGTGCTGACCCCCAGCTACCTCTCCCAGGGAGCCACCTGGATCACAGTGCTCCTATGCTCAGAACCCACCAGTGGTTGTCTCGAATCCAGATTCAACTGACAACCTTAGTGCCTATGACTCCCCATCCCAGAGCCTGCATCCCAGAGAGCTGTCATCCTCACATTCCCCGAATATGTCCAGCTCGGGTTTTGCCCTAAATCTGCCTTCCTCCCCACCCTACCAAGAACTCTTCTCTCTAGAGAGTGTTTTCTGGGCAGATCACAGGATGGATGCCATCTCGGCATAACTTCTTCATCTAAAAGAATCAGTGGATGCTTCCATCCAATGATGATCCTTAGACATGAACTACCAATTTATGATTGCAGTGTGTTGACTATATTCCATATTACTTAAATCAGAACGTTTATGGATAGATTCCGACATGGGGGATGAAGCCAAAACCATTGCAATAAACAAGAGACCAACTTCCTGCTAAGCATTAACTCTGTTCAAGGATTCTCCTCCGCCTCCAAACACACGGTGACGAAGGCCAAGGCACCTGGAGATCAAGGATTCATGTAGCACCACTTCACACTCACAGGCTCCATTTGTACAATCACAAAGTAAAACTGCCAGCTGCCTGTGTGTTCGAGTTTTTTAGGTCAGAGGAAGAATGGTAAGCTGACACGTCCTAAAGCTCTTCAAATCAATCCCAGCATCTTAGGTCATGAATGTGTAGGTGGCTCAAAGCTTCCAGTGGCATGTGCTCTTCCTCGGTGCTCGTGGAAAGGGGGCGGGCACAATTCAGACATCAGAGAACTCTGCTGGGAGAAGAAAATCTGAAAGGTTGTCTCTTCCAACCAAGTATTTAACCTGAAAAAGTCTAACGTTAATTTCATACAGCTTTAGAATACTTAAACTGGCCCAAAGTCAAGATCGAACCTACTTAGACTCCAGCGTTTTGAACACAATATTACTTCCTTTGGAAGACAAACATCAGCATACAGTTTGGTTGGCACAAATTGGACCCATACTAGGACTCAACTAATAAACTAGGAAACTGTCAAGACTTCCACGATCTCTTAGGGTTT